AATAAATAAAAATGAACGAGCGGCGTTTAATGGCGTAAAAAAAAAAAAAAAAAAAAAAAAACAAAATAAAAATCACACTTCTGGATGAACTTTATATTACGTAATTTTTTTAAAAATTTAAGAGGTCAATGAGCTCAAAAGATTATTTCGTTCGATTTCCGTTAATTTTTTTTTTTTTTTTTTTCTTCCTTACAAATCGTCTCGTCACGATTATTATTATTATTATTATTAATTGTTTTTATTTTCGTTATTTAAAAAAAAAAAAATTTGATCGTTTTTGTCAATTTAAATTCCCGATAATTCAAAATAATCGAAAAGAGAATAATAATAATAATAATTCACGTATGAATGAACGCATTGAAAAAAAAAAAAATTAATTTTAAGTGTGTGTGTGTGGGTTACATAAGCGAAAACCGTGAGATCGTGTTTGTATGTTTGTGTTATGATTTAAAGTTTATTCGCGTGACTATAAATAGAATTTTTCATATTTTTTTTTAAAGAAAATTGTCTTTGAAAAAAAAGAAATTTAAAAAACGAAAATTAATAAATTAAAATAGTTTAATAATAATAATAATAATAATACATAAATAAATAAATAAATAAAATTTTTTTTTCTTTTTGATTTCGAAGTTTTATGGAAAAACAAATTTTTTTTTTTTTTAACGCGTATTTTTTTTCGCGTTTCAAATGTTATTTAGTATTATTATTATTATTATTATTATTATTATTATTATTATTATTATTTGAGACGATTAAGTTTGATAATTGTTAAGAAAATATATATAAAATAAACATAAGTTATCGCATGTGTTGTTGTTGTTACCCTTGATTTTCTCTAATCTAAATTTTATTTAATTTTTAATATTTTGTCATTTTTTTTTATTTTTTTTTGATTTTTCAGTACAAATTTTAAAAAAAACCTTTAAACCTGATAAACATGAGTGCATACTATTAAAAAAGTTTATTTTTAAATTTAAATTTTTATTTTTTGTGAGGAAAAAAAAAAAAAAAAAAAATGTTTGAATTCTTACAAAAATGTAAACTCCCAAACATGATCCCAAAGTTTGTTTGTTTGTTTGTTTTTGGGAAAACACTTTGTGAAAAACTATTTTTTCTAATACATCAAAATGTGACAAAACATTAAAAAATTTAATTAAATTTTCTTTTTAATTCAATATGAATTTGACCTTTTGAATTTTTCTTTTTTTTTTTTTCAAAATGGTAAAGTCAGATATAAATAAATTCAAACGTATAATGAATGTTTTTATTTTATTATTATAGTGAAGTTCAATGAACTGGGGTACAACACAATATATAAAATTGGTTAAAAATTATTAAAAGAATTTCCAAAAATTTTTTCTTTTTTTTTTTTTTTTTTTATAATTCCAATGCAATAATATAAAGGCAACATTCGAACACATATACAACAACAACAACAACAACAAAAAATTTAAAAGACGTTAAAAGGCGTTCGTATCAAAATGAAATATTTTTTTTTAAATAAAATGGATTATTTACCGGATGAAATTATTTTATTGATATTTGATTATTCATCGGGATACGATTTAACGACGTCTTTTCAACTTGTTTGCACGAGATGGAAATACTTGATAAATAAATCTGAAAAAATTTGGAGAGGAAATGTCAAGTTGAAGGGTTTGAAAGAGCAACAGTGTAAAAATAAACTCTGCGAAATACTTATAACGACGCCCAAGTTAAAATACCTTCAAATAGGTAATTCTCACAATTCCACGTTGACTCAGACGGCGGCGTGTGGAGAAACCAATAACGGAAATCAAGAAGAAGGAGAATCATCGGAAGAGGAAACGGAAATCATTTTGCGAACGATTCGAACGTACAACCAAGAATTGGAATATTTGCACGTCATCGACAGGTATCCGTTATTTGACGTCATGCAAACCGTTTTAAAAAGATCGAAATTTAAACGATTGAAAATCACTCTCGATAAACTATGTGACAGACGTGAAAAAATCAACGATTTGAAAAAACTTTTCGCGAATTTACCGAGTGTCGACAACATGTGCATCGATTTTTGTCAGAGAATTCAATTTAATTGTGAAAAAGAAAATTTCGAATGGAAAATCAGTCACGATTTCGATACGGATTCGATTGATGACTTCAATTAAAGATGGCGGATGAATGTTGGCGTTAAAATATTTTACGATAGCGGAGCAATTTTTTTTTTTTTTTTTTTTTTTTTTTTATCATTGTAAAATAATAATGATGGAATTTAGTTTTTTTTTTTTTTTTTTTTTGAGAATAAAATTATTTAAATGATATAACAACTCACCTGATTCGATATACCTTCTCTCCCGTATATGTAAGCATCGTTTATAATGGATTCCATTTTATCTCCCCAACCCTCTGGTAACATTTGTAAAAATTCTGGATTGTTGACAACCGTTGTGTTAATAACTTCGGCTCCAACGGTAACTAAATGTATTCCCTCGGCGTATATCTGAAATCATTTTTAAAAATAAATTGATTATTGGTTTTAACTTATTAATAATCAACACAAATAATCTTAACTTTAAAATTTACCTGAAAGGCAATAAAAAACGAAAAACAAAAAACGAATAATATAAGACCTAAAATAACAAGACTAGACGCAAAAGAACTTATCGAATGATGAATTCCATTCATGACGCTGATACGAAGTTTTCCAAACAACTAAAATAAATACAAATTTTCATTATCCAAAAAAATAATCATCTTAGTTCAAAGTTGTAATCTTTGCAAAACTTTTTTCAATGTATACCTTGCATAGACCTTGAATGGGTGGAGGAAATATGGCCAATTCCCTCATTTTTAAAAATGGAAACATATTATTCCACATGGAAAGCATTTGCGAATTAATTAAATTCCAAATACCGAAATAAATGCCTGAATAAAATTATACAATTATGTAAGTCAATTTTCACAATAAAATAAAATTTAAATTTTGTAAATATTTTCAAATAATTAAGAAAGGTAAATGTAAAAAATGAGAAAAATAGTAAAATTTCTCACCTAAATGTTTGATAAAATATATGGCGAATGGAATGGGTAAAATGTGAATAATCCAAACATTTTTCCAAATGATCATTAAAAAACATGCCCAGATTACTCCGTATATAAAATTAAAGCTATTTTCATTGTTACTTCCTTTTTCAGCACCATCAAGTCTCAAAGTGTTTAATTTTAATTTTTGTTCCAATGCTGCATATAAATCTAATTTGTTTAAAAAATCCGATGAAGATCTCACCAAACTGAAATGTTGAAAAAAAAAAAAACACTTCATTTAAAATAGGTCATTGAATTTTAAATATTATATAAATCAAGGCAAATTTTACAAATACTTGAGAATAATTTTAAATTTTAAATAATTTTTCAAGAGTCAAACTTACCATGGTTTGCTAGCAAATGTTTTCCCTTCATTTTTTTTGACATTTGTTTCTTCAGTTTTTTTATTAACATCAGATTTGGTTTCATCCTTTTGGTTAAAATGTAAATCATCAGTTTGTTTTTCAGTAGAATCCTGTAATTTTATTTTAATGCATTAATTTTTATTTGTATTAATTAATTAATCTACTTAAATAATGTTTTAAGATTTATGCGTAAAAAACATTCATTAAAATACGCAAAATATTTTTTAAACTAACCTTATCACCTGTATATCCAGGAGAATTTCCTTTAAAAACATTTTCAACTGCTCTCCAATATGAAATTTTCTCACATGACAATGATATCATCATGAATACTTCGAAAGCAAAACCGAAAGACAATGCGAATAATATAATTAAAAACAATGGAATTTGAAGAACGCCAAATATTTTGGCGACAAATAACGAAATGAAAAACCAAATACCATATGATACTACAGATAATAATTGCTTATTTTCATTATTCCAATAAAAAATTAATATTGTTGCATATAAAATTAAAAAAATTAAAAACTGAAAAATAATTCAAATCAATAAGTATAGAGTATAATTAAGTTTAAGAAATATAAAATATAGAATGTACTTACAACGTGTATAGTAAGGTAATGCATGATAAGAAGCAAAACATAATTATTTATATACCAAATATATCCCATTAAGGTAATGCATGGAGTGTAAAAAAATAAGAAAAAAAATAATAGCATTCCAATTCCTGCAGTTAGTAAAATTTTAAAATTTGTCACCAATGCATTACCAATCAATTCTGATATTCGGTCGATTAATCGAATGGGCACCATAAAAAATTCTAAAAAAATTGGTGTTGAAGATGCATTGAATTGATGAAACCATGTTTCAAAACGTTCAGCGAGAGAGTATTTAAATGGATGAAGAACAGAACCGATGAGTAAAGCCCAAAGCAAAGGTTTTACAAAGGGCTCCAAAATAAAATATAAAGCCCATCCGGCAGCAGCACACAATACCAAAACAAACATTGCGACAGCATTATAAAATGCTTGTTTTAATGCTTTTTCATGTCCTTGTGGAATGACGTTTAAGAAATTCATTTTTTACAAATGTATCTTTTGACAATTATAAATCCAATCAGCATTCATCATTATAAAAATAAAATTTGTGAAATAATCATTTTGAACATGATGTCTTTCCTGCAACAAAAAGAGAAAATTTATCGGTTAAAAAATTATTTTTGAATAAATTTATTAAAAACTTTAAATTTTAAATAAAACTCACGTATTAATACACTCTATATAGTAGTATTAATTAAACATTTTTTAAATCATTACTGAAAATTATTTATTACATGTGTGACACTGTTATTATTTACAAAAAATGACGCATATTGATTGAAGGACCAATGACTGACCTAATGATTTACATACTTTAGTTTTTAAATATTTTAAAATAAATAAATTATAAATTGAAATGAATTTATAAAAATACAATTGTGATATAATTATTTTATTGTATAAAAAAAAAATTTATCGTAACAACGTATTTAGCCACAGATAAAAGTCTATTATTTGATTGTTGTGGAGAATAAGTCTAAAAAAGGAATTATCAATAATAATATTACGAGTATGAAACAATCGTTTACAATAAATATGAAAAGGTGACATCTGCACTAATTTCAAATGTAGTAAGTAAAAAAAATCATTTCAAAAAGATTAAATCATTATTAAAAAGTATGACGTATTAATACTTAATGTATTTTAATAATCACGTAAGCAATAATAAAAATTAATATGTCTTTGAAACTGATTTTTTTTTATTTTTTTATAGAATTTATAAAGTCAGTTGAAAATGTGTAATTAAATTCTCATAATGTCGTCTTTAGAGTGTGACGTTTCAAACACATTTTCAAAGAATTATAAATTTAGTGAAAGATTATTCGATATAGAAAATGATATGTCTAATGAATTGGAATTATTAAATTTTAAACCACCTATTGAATATGTTTACAATCCACTAAAATATGCTAAAAATTTACACGAAAACTTTACTAAAAAATATTTTGAAAAATGTACTAAAAAAATATTATTTCTCGGAATGAATCCTGGTCCCTGGGGAATGTGTCAAACAGGTGTATGTGTTTAATCGATAGAAAAACTTAATTTAAAAAAATGTTTTTTATTCATAATGATTATTTTGTTTCAGGTAGTGTTTGGTGAAAAAAATTTCATTAAAGATTGGATGAAATTATCAGGTAAAGTTAGTAAACCACATATTGAACATCCGAAAAAAAAAATTAGTGGACTTGAATGCAATCGTACTGAAATAAGTGGTAAAAAATTTTGGGGATTTTTTAAAAAATTATGTAAAACTCCTGAACAATTTTTTAAACATTCTTTTGTATATAATCATTGTTGCTTAGCCTTTATGGATGCAACAGGGAAAAATATTACACCTCCAGAGATTAAGGTGTGCTTAAGATTTTGTATGATATGCACAAAAAATATTTTGATGAGATCTGCTACATAATAATAAATTTATTTTAGGATTTAGCGATTAAAAAAAAATTGTATGAAATTTGCGATCGAGCCCTAATTAAAATTCTTAAAGAATTTCATTTTGAAATAATTGTAGCTATTGGAAAATTTGCTGAAAAAAATGCTTTAACTGCCCTTAAAAAAAATGGAATTGGAAATGTAAAAGTAATTATCACATTTAATGTTATGCAAAATGATTTAAAAAGTACAAATTATTTTAGTTTCGTAAAAAAAATTTTTTTTTTACTCGAAAGCAAAAAGTATAAACGCAACTAAACTAAAAGTTAAACCGAGTTTGAATTTTATTTTATCTTAGGTATTGTCAATACCTCATCCGAGCCCTCGTAATGCCAAAAATTTTTCAAATTGGGAAGAAGTGACATTAAACAAATTAGAAAATAACAAATTACTCAAATTCTTTAAGGATAATCAGTGATAATAATACAAATTTATAACACAATGGATTTAAAACCTATAAATAAGCCTACACAATGGCAATATGACTGGATGAAAATAGCATTGGGATTTGCAGAGAATGCGCTTAAAAATAATGAAGTTCCTGTCGGCTGCATATTTGTGTACGACAATGAAATTATTGCAAATGGAGCTAACACTGTCAACGAAACCAAAAATGCGACAAGACATGCTGAAATGAATTGTATTGATACTGTATTATCATGGTGCAAAGAAAGAAATTTGAATTTTACAGAAGTATTCAAAGCCATGGATGTTGTAGTGACAGTTGAACCGTGTATTATGTGTTCAGCTGCATTGTTCGAACTTAAAGTGAAACGAATAACTTATGGTTGTAAAAATTATAGATTTGGGGGATGTTCAACAGTGTTTGATATATCAAAAATATATAGAAATTCTAATTGTGTGATGGTAGGAGGAGTTTATGATGAAGAATCTATTAATTTGCTAAAAGATTTTTACAAAGGCTCTAATCCAAATGTTCCTTTGAGTAAGGCGAAAAAAAAAAAGCCTAAAAATTTATTAGGTAATCAATCAGATTTGAATGTTTAACGTATTATTATTGTCAATCATCTACTTTTAAACAATGGTCAATTTTAAAAAAATATTTTTAATAAATAAAAGTGGTTAATTGTTTATATATTTTGATAAAATTGCACCTTTTTGCAATGAAAAGCTTTTTGATTTTACCCCCCCCCCCTCCCCAGTTTCACAGTCAGTATATAACAATCAAAAATTCAATTTTAAAAAAAATGGACTGTTAATTGCACTTATAAATATATCAATCATTATTTTATTGTATTTTTTGGGAAAAATATAAAAAATTATGTAATAAATTTTTAAAATGAACTTTACAATTGATAAATTTGCCTCATCGAAAAAAAAAAAACAAAATAAATGAAAATTAAGCAATGATAATGTCCAGATAACTTCTATCCTCTACTTTAATAATCTTTTCATTTTATGACATTCGAATAATTTTGTAACATTATTGATATTTGTACAATTTTATAAAAATAATTTAGCAGCATAAAAATTTATTATTTGAAAATGATGAATGGCTAAAATGATTGTTGATAAAAATAAAAGATTTGTACTGAAAATTGCGAATGATGGCAAAAATGATTGCTATGGTTTGATGTTTTACAAAAAAAGGTTTAACTTATAATTTATTAGAGATTTAATATAAAATTATATTGAAGAAATGTGATTGTTATATTTAAACTGGTTATGAGAATTCAATTATTGCAATGTGTTATATGATATGATG